CTGAAATTCTTATTCCACCAAGATCAACACAAAAATGTTCAATAAATATAATTCCATTATGTTCAAGAGCAACAATTGATATATTAATTGGACAAAATGAAAATGATTATATTGAATTACCTGTTTCATTTATTAGTAATGAAGATAATATTTATTGTAGTGATGATTTACTTATTACAACTGAAAATGAATTAGCAATAAATAAATATCCTCCTTTTTCTTTTATGTTATCTAAAGAAATTATTAATCGTTTTGAATTCTCTCAAAATTCTAATTTTCTTGTTCCAATTAAGAAATGTTGTATTCATCCAAATTTAATTATTATGACTGATCATTTTCATACTATTTGTTCTTCTGATAATATTCTTAATATTTTATTAGATGTTGCTAAAGGTTTAGATGAATTACATAAAAATAATTTTATTCATCAAAATATTACTTTAGATTCTTTTGTTGTTGATTCTTTTGGTAATGGTAAATTATCTGATTATTGGATTCCTACTCTTTTAACTACTTCTATTTATACTCCTCCTGAAGTTTTAAATGGTCTTCCTTTTACTAAATCTGGTGATGTTTTTAGTTTTGCTATTGCTTGTATTTTATCTTGTGGTGGTTCTGTTGGTTCTATCCCTTTTTCAATTAATAATGTCTCTTTTCCTGCTTTATTAGAAAATTGGAAAGATTTATTAATACAAATGCTTAATCCAAATTACCAATTAAGACCTGATATCTCTTCTATTGTATTATCTTGGTCTAAAAAAATTTAATTTTTTTTTTGTTATTTAAATAAATACTTTTTTTGTTTTTTTTTTTTTTTAATATTCTAGTTTTTTCTAAGAATAACAATAAAGATATAATTGTTATTTATCTCTTCTTGAAACAAACAACGTTAAAAAATACTCATCTTAACACTTAAATAAAAACACTTTTTATTTTAGAATATATCTCAATGTTATATTAAAGAAAATAACATACTTAAAATTATTTTTTTTTTGTTATTTATTTACAAATCAATTATTACAGAATTTATTTACTTCTCTGAATATATTTCATTAAATACAAACAAACAAAATTGAATCATTAAAAATAATTAAATTCAAAGCATAAAGAATAGTAGAATAAAGAGAAGAATATTCATATTCAAAAGAAGTGAGATTGAACCATCATCAACACCATCATATGGATCTTCCCATTCACCAACACACATTCCTCTTGCATCAAGAGTAGTATTTGCTTTACAAGCAGAACATTTTAATGTGTTTTGATCACATGAATCACAATTTTTATCTAACTTACAATTACCAGCAAATACAATGTAATTTAATGGAATATAAAAATCACCAATTTTTTGACCAATTCCACATAAAACATCAGTTGATATCTTTAAATAATTATCTCCATCTCCCCAACCATCATACCATGAATTTCTCATAATAAAGAATTCTCTTCCATCTTCTTTACCATAACCAACAATTATAACTTGATGATCTGTTTGAGTATTGTCAGTACATGATGATGGGAATGTATAAATTCCACTTCCTACATTTCCAAATGCAGGATCTATAGTACTGTAAATAGCAGTTGAAATAGGTCCATAATGATGAATAATCTTTTTTAATGTATGAACTTTTTCTTGATGAGTTCCTGTAACAGCAAAAACATGATAATGATCATTTCTCATTTGAATTTTAACATTTGGATTTTGATCTCCTCGTGGTGAACATGATGTACTTGTTGATCCTGAACCATCAATATATGGATAATCTGATTCAAGTGAATATGATGGCTCTGCATCAAGAATATTCATTACATTTCCTCCACAACATCTTTTACTAATTTGAAGATTTGATCCTCCTGGAATTGCTTTATCAATCCAACGTTGTGGTGTAAATAATGGTTTAACAGTTTTATTAATATCTTTGTCATTATAATAATATGAAATATTAGCATAAAGATATTGTCCTAAATTTGCTGTTGAAGCTGCATAACATGAACCACATGATCCTTGATTAAATTGTTTTCCACATAAATCAATTGGTTCTCTTCTTGTATTATTAACAACATATTTACCACAATAAGTATGATATTCTGGAAGGTTATCTCCCTCTGGTAATGGT